CGCGGCTGGTCAGTTTCAGCAGCGGCTGAATCAGAACGCCTGGGGCAGAGCAGATGGGGTGCTGCTAGGTTGGTCCAGTAGCACCCAGGAGCGGCGCTACTGGAGCAACCCAGCAGCACCTCCCGTGCTCTGCCCCAGGCGTCCCCAAGTCAGCTTCTGCTGAAACTGACCAGCGCTGACTACAGGAAGCCCCAGGCAGAGTTGCTCTGCCCGGGGCTTCCTGGAATCAGCTGCTGATCAGTTTCAGCAGCAGCTGACTTGGGGACGCCTGGGGTTCTTAAGTTGATTCTGTATGTAAGTCAGAACTGGCGTTCAGTTTCAGCAGTGTGTGAATCTGGACGCCAGTTCCGACTTACATACAGATTCAACTTAAGAACAAACCTACAGTCCCTATCTTGTACGTAACCCGGGGACTGCCTGTACCACAAAACCTCCACAGTCTGGTGCAAATACATAAATATGCTCAGGAATCACCCAGTTGAAAGTTGGCATTAAGGTGCATTGCAAAGCTGTTTGTATAGGCTTGTGATGGAGTGTTCACTCCACACATCACCTGGGGTTAAGGTAGTAGGGCAGGGACTAATTAACCTAGTAGGCTGCACCTGTAGAAACATTAGACTAGCCAGGCAAGACCTAATAGAAGATGAATTTCAGCTGAGTAGCTGTAGGTTGTTCTGGTACAAAATCAGCAATCTGAGCCCAGAGAAGATTATAGGGAAAGGAATCTACAGTCATCTCCTAGAAGGAAGACTGTGGATTTGGAAACTGCTAAGCACCTGAAGAGGGTGAAATAGTTGAGAGAATTCCATTAGTAACCAGGGGAAGGGAGCAGAGTTAGGGGAGAAAAGTAGGAAGAAGAGGAAATAGCAATAGGGTGTAGGGGCAAGTGGACTATGGGACCAAGAAGAATCCCTGTGCTGGAACCCAGTCGCAGGCAGGCCTGGGTCCCCTATCCACCACTTAGGGAAGTGGCATAGTGTTGAATTATAGGATGGCTTACTGGACAACTTGATCTGGAAGGACTTTGGTATTCTGGTAGTGGTGGTGGAAAGGGAGCATGCTGTGTTCCAGAGAGTGAGAGGAACCGGGGGGGGGGAGAGCAAACAGCAGAAGAGGGTATCGGAGCTGGATGGAGCTAATCATCTGAGCACCCAGGAAGAGGCACCCTAGTGGTGAGTAAAGCTTGTTATAAAGCTGCGTATAACTTCCTCTCCTCTATAAGATTAAGCATGTAGAAACTCTTCCTGTCCCTTTGTTGGAGGCTAGCACCAGGCCTTCCGGCTTCTCCACTTCCTGCAGTAGCCCTATAGAGTGGGCAGGCAGGCTGTGCAGATGCTGAATGGTGGACTCCTGATGCCGAGTAAACTGGCATAGAGGAGCATATTGGTGACAGCTCACAGCAAGAGGTTGACTGGGCTATGTGGATTCAGAAACCTTCACACTGAAGAGTAAAGGTGCTGGCCACTGTTCCAGCCCATAAGCTGAAATGATCACTTTGAAAGGTTCCCACCTCAGTTTCCAAAGCAAAGGGTGACTTTCACCCCTGGAGAATAAATAGTGGAGGAGGAGGGGGACTTCTGGTCCTGTGACTTATACCCTGCACAATTCCATGGAGCTCAATGAGATTTCTCTTCGGTAAATGAGAACAGAATATGACCCTCAGCAGATAGGAAGCCCACACAAAGGTAAATGTAAAGGCATTACTAAAAAGATTGCTCTTAAACATTGTCACAGTAGGCTTGGCACTACTGAAATTTTGCCAAACTGGCCTGTAAAGTCACCTAAACACACCATTATTTTTAATCGTCTTTTAAAAGAAGATGGGTAGCTAATCTTTTTAGTAAGTCTCATTCTGGACAGAGGAATGAGAACAATATTGCTTGTTACTATTCTAACTTAATGGGCTGACATCTTAAATAATGCCTTAGTGGTGCACAGTGTTTTATTATACTAATTAAATGTCTAATTGGAGATACCAAGTTCTTGGTTACTGCTGTAGGTAGCAACAAATGCATAATGTGGCTTCTTTCCCACTCCTCTGTGCTGCCCCCTCCCCACCTGATAGAAAAAAGAAAACATATTTAAGGAGGATAAGACTTTGAGGTTGGGGGTGGGTCAGTGTGTATAGTGTTCTGATGGGCATCTCTATCCATATCATAATGTGCCCAATGAACAATTCTAGTTCTTACTATTAAGAAGAGATGATGGGTTTTATGCTAGTCTCAGTTGGAAGAGGACATACATGAGGCTGTGAACTGCAAAGGTTCCTAAATAAATGTCAGACATCAGTACTATGGGAACTTGAGTGCCTAACTTCTTTAGGCTCCTTTGAAAATCATAGCTATGATACTAATAAAGGAACCCTCAAAGGTATCATGTACACTTACTTAAAAGAGCACAAATCTAACACAGTTAACTACTGAAATAACCATGTGGTGTTTCCTTTCCCACAGAATCACTTTAAAATTGGAACAAACCTACAGTTAAGTGACATTATCCAGGGGTAGTTGGATCCATTTGTGTGAGGCAACAGACTACTTCTTTAAAGGATCTTTCATTTATCTTCCCCTTTTTGTGCCTGCAAATTCAAAGTCGTATCAATGTTATTTGCAACCAAGTAGTTAGACATATAAATGATATTGATTACCCTTGCCCCAGTCTGTGCAAAAATGCACATACAAAACTGCAGGCATAAAATGGGAAGTGGCTTCTAACAGGGCTGTGATAGGAACACTAATGGGTTTAGAAATGTGATCAGTCCAGCCAGCTACTTGACTGACCATCCTTTGAATTCACAGCAAAATATAAGATGTCATGTTGGCTGGAGACAATATAGACTACATCCATAGGCTGAGAAGTGGATGGATGAGAAGGGAAGGGTTTTCATGTAAACACACAGGCTACATCTAGACTGGCATGACTTTCCGCAAATGCTTTTAATGGAAAAGTTTTCTGTTAAAAGCATTTGCGGAAAAGAGCGTCTAGATTGGCACGGACACTTTTCCATAAAAGCTCTGATTTCTTACATGAGATCGTCAGTGTTCTTGTGGAAATTCAAGCGTCCAGTGTAGACAGCTGGCAAGCTTTTCCACAAAAGCAGCTGCTTTTGCGGAAAAACTTGCCAGTCTAGACACAGCCAAAGAGTTAACTCAAGTTGATGTTCAATCCAGAGTTCTACCCAAACTGTGAATGGCTGGAAGAATATTCCAAGTATCTTCTACTGGTCTTCTCTTCACAAATTATCTGAAATGTGCCCTTCTGATGGTCATTATACCGTACATAAAAGGAAGGATAACAAACAGTAGTAATAAAAATCTGGCATCCCTGGTCTTCAGATAGTGGTCACCTAACAGCATTAATAGAGCATGCTGACAATCTCTTTCTCATCAGACTGCTCATATCCCAGGCCCATCACTTTCTTTTCATGGCCCTTGGGATATCCTAGATTCCTTCCACTCATGGTGACTTAGTTGCATGCAGCTCAAATCCATCTTCTCTTCCTGTAGGTATGAACAAAGATGTGCAAAAGCAGCCTCTAGGAAGTTATATGCCTCTATATGAACAAAAAAGGGTATCTTTGAACAAAGTTCTGATTGATGCTTTACTTATCAGTGGGAGGCTTCACCCTCTGTTTGGCCATGAGTTTCCTGTCATTTGGGCAGAGACAGTGTGATCATTCCCTTCCCTCACAGTGCTCTGAGAAGCTCACATGTCCACTGCCTGGCTTAACTGTGGAACAGACTGA